AAATCTATATTCGGCGAAAAACACTAATTTTTATAGATTACTTTCTTCTTTCTTAATCAGTTTTGTAATCAGCTTCGTAATCAACCTCATTTCGGTTGCATTATTTGTGTGGTTACCAATTGACTTTTCCATAAAGAAATTCCCCTTCTCGAAAAACATAATCTTAGGAAAATTCACTATTCCATTAAACTTCATGAAATAATCAATTTGAAAGAATCACATGTCATTATCATAAATGTGTAACACACAAATTTCTTTTGTGGACGAGAAAAGGCCCAACAATTTTTTTTTTTTTTTTGGTGAATAGACAAGGCCCAACATGAATATTATTCAGGCACAAAACTAGAATATTTCAAAGCAAAAAATGGGATTCTGGATGGTCTTCTTGGGACTTTTTTCAAGGCCCGTTTATGAAAAGAAAGACTTAATAAGGAAAGAACAAAACATAAGTTAGATGAACTTTCACAGAACCGCAATACATTTTCCATTCCCTGTACAACCAATTGAGAATTCTTAAGGAAACGAAACAAAATCATTTCGATTCTATAAAGGACAAGAGAAAGAAAAGATCAACAAGTAGTTGAGCAGAAGAACCTAGAAAGCTTCAAACAAGGAGACCCTTTTTTGCATTTTGCAAACCCATTAGTTGAATGTAGAAGAAAGTCTCTATAGATAGTTAATAACACTAATAATCTGCTCGTAGAAATTTCTCATACTCGGTCCCATTCAATGTCTTGTTTATATCTTCCCAGTTCTTGATGTGATCTGACAAATCCCCTCTGTGTATCTTCACCTGTCTGCTTGACAAATCCTTCACAGGAATGTTCAAAAACTCTTGAACCAGTTTCAATGTCTGCATCAAACCCCAAAAGAACTAACATCGGTCATTCGTGTTATAAAGCATAAGGTTATCAATATCTCTTACTCAAATAGTCTCTAACTTTTAATGTGTATAAGAGTGTTTATCAAAAGATGGCAACTTTTAAAAAAGAATAAAACTTTGCTCTAAAATTTAAAACCTTCCATTGTTGTGAAACCTTACCGTTCGATTTGTTACAAGATCTTCGTAGAATATGACGATATGATGAGTGGTATTGAAATGTTCTAAAGCCTTTGCAGCTAAATTCCCTGTTTCTTGTAAATCGTGGATCAACGATGTTGAGTTGATTACCGGCTTATACCTAGAAAGTGCATCTGCCTGCAGTG